GGAATTCTGGGAGTTGAAGTCCACCCATCGTCAAGCTGCCAAGGTTGAGAAACATTGCTGTAGACCAACCCAGTTCTTCTCCTACAAAACAAGACAGAGGGGCTTCATTTCAACAGGAATGGGGGGGGTCTTTCTCTCTTCTAACCCCCTCGGGCGAAAGTCGTAGCGCCATCGAGCGTTATTCCTGGTTTCTAGCCCGGCTGGAGGCCAAGGGACCAAAATAGGCGGCTTGCAGTGTCTGCTTCTCCCTTTGGGCTTGCCAGCGGGGCATCTGCTCACCCCTCGCCAGGCTAGGGGCATCCGGAAGAAAAATGGGAGGGGGCCCTGCAAGTGGAGGGGGCACTGCGGGAGGCCTGCTCTCTAGCTGGCCAGACTCGGGTGCGGACCGGGGAGGCAGAGCCAGAACCGAAGGGTGCCCCTCCTCCCTTCGAGGGATCACGTTGGCGCTGTAGGGCAGAAGGAAAACCTGCTGTCAACACGTTGGCTGATTTACCCCCTTGATTTGCGCAGACTGTGCCAAGTCATCTGATCTGCCGGCCCCTGAAATGACAGCTGCCGGCTCCCCTGGCCAGGTCCTCCAGCAAGGCGGAGAACAGCCCGAGAGAAAGCGGGCACGCCAGAGGAGAGGGCCGGGCACGCCAGAGGAGAGGGCCGGGCACGCCAGAGGAGAGGGCCGGGCACGCCAGAGGAGAGGGCCGGGCCCGCCACTGCTCTGCTATTAGCAACCGAGTCCTTTCGGTGGGATTGTCTCCTGGGCGCTTGCAAGCTCGGTGTCAGGCAGCGGCCTCTGAACCGGGCGGAGAGGCGCGGCAATCAACTGGTGTGCGGTTGCTCGCATGACATCAGTGGTGGGGTGGAAAGACCATTGGCCGGAGCGCGGTGGGGCTTCCTTCCTGCCACGAGGGTTTACGGGGTTTTGAACGTCCTCGTCGAACCTGGGTGAGGTGACCGGGTGGAGGGTCCCGAACCGAACGCCTTGGCCTGCAAGCCGTGGGTCGCCCGGGGAGCAAGTGGGCTCGGGTGGTGTGTTCAGAGACTTTTCTCCGACTTCTGGGTTTTCAGTTTCACTTGAAGCTCTTCGGTGCTTCTGAGGAATGTACAAAGCCCGTTCCGCTGGTAACTTTGCAGCGACAGAGAAAATCATTCTCTTTGTGTTCAGTAGAAGGTGCTTTATTCCTTTTTCTTTTTTTAAATCGCTCGTCGGGACTTAGCAAATGAGTAAAAATTAGGAAAGGACAGCTTTCCTTCTCGTTTTTTGCACGCCACAGGAAAGTAGATTTTGTGTCTTATAAAGCGTGAAGGTGTATTTTGTGCAGGGGGTATTTATGAGCAAGAGATATAGGATGGGGTTAGTAACAGGGTTCAGGCTCTTGGGATGACGTCACCACAACGCACACCCTTAAGATATGAATCCAAAATCAGTAAGCGATATTTTACTGCACATAACCGGAGAAATGGATTCGGCAGTATATAAAAGCAGGCAAAAGCTCTTCCTGCGTTTTGCTGCATCATCTTTGAAGCTCGTAGCTCTAGAGAGAGGGTGACAAGGCGAAGTGTGCATGTGTGTGTTTGTGTGACAGTATGTGCAATGCAATTAAAGGAACATGTTTGCTTCCTGTGGCACTCTGAAATAGATGGGTAGATTAGGAAAAGCAGCATCTGTATTCTTCTTCATTGCGATCATTGCAGTTTGACTGCGGGCTAAGGTGCCAAAATTTTATGATGAGCTTCAGGGGAAAAGCAAGGCGGGGGGGGAGTTTGCTTCTTTCAAATCGCCTTTCTTCTCCAACTTCTGGAAGGTCTTTCTGTGTTAGAAGTTCTAGCCTGTATCTTGCAGAGGAATGCCAAAACAGCAGCCTACACCAGTGTTGCTCAACCTCGGCAACTTTAAGAAGTCTGGACTTCAACTCCCAGAATTCCCCAGCCACCA